AACCTAACCTTTACATCACGATGCTCTTTATATTTATCATGCTTTATATACAGAGCTCCACTCTCTTTTAAATTCAAATTTAGTTAAATAATTTGATTTAAATCATTAAAATTGTCCATTAATTTCAAAAAGATCTTAATGTACAAATCTCTGGTAAGAATCTGATTTTTTTAATTACCTTAGTTTTAATTAAGTAACTATTGCATTTAAGATATAATTTATTTTTTTGCGTTATTGAAAAAATGGATTTTTTTTAATCCGAATATGAATTTTTGCAAAACTTTTTCTGGCAACATGGTAGTTTATTTATGTTTACAATGATATTGATAATGAAACCTTAATAAAAATGTTTGTTTATAAACAAACCAATAAATATAAATAAATAAAAAAACTTTACTACATATGTATGTAGTATGTATGTGAATAAAATAAAAAGATTATGAATGAATGCTGTAAAAATGATAATCATCAGCATGATCATGTTTATAAACATCATTATTGTGTACTGTTTAGATGATGATGACAATGAACCAAAGCTATATGAGTGTTTTTGTAAATGGAGGAATAAACCTTTTTTTTTGCAATCCCGTAGAGAGAAAAAAAATATTTTAATGAAATTGTGACGGACAAATAATTTGTGTTGACATTTGCATATTTTTTTTTTTTTTTTTGCAAATCAAAACTGGAATAAACACAATTTGAGAATTAAACTTTTGTTCAGTTTCAATTGAATTTAGTAGCAGTGCATCTGTAAAACGTTTAACAACTTAAAAAAAAATACTTTTAAAATAATTCAAACCATAAAAACGGGTTAAATCAAATAAAAAAATAATAAAATTCATCTACTTATAAAAAATTTAATTTAATAAAAAAAACTTCTACAAAATGTTTAAAACAAAATATTCTAATTTACTTTTATTAACAATATTTCTAAATGTTAATTTAATTGTTAATGCAATGGAATTGTGTGAGTGTTTAATTTAAATGTTCAAAATCCTTGTTGGGATTTTTTTTTTAAACAAATAATTGTGATTATATAATCATTTGGCGTGACATATTAGTAGAATTTATTTCAATCATTTACTGAATGTTTATCTTCTTTTTTTCGGTATTTTTCTTTTACTTTATGGTTGATTAGCAAATTTTACACCCAAAATACGAATTATTTATGATAATTTAACAACAGGTGCGAAAAAAGCATGTTTATGTCTGTGTGTGTGCATGCTGTGTTTATTTCTAATTCATTGTTATTAGAAATAAAATATAATAATTTAATAAAATGGTTGCTAATAACAAATATTTGGCTTAGTCAGTAATTTTTCCCTATTAACTAATTAACCCAATATTTATTTAAAATGTATGAGTGTTTTAAAGAAATAAGGAAGGGTAAAGTTACAATGGAAAATTTTTGGAAGAATTAATTTAATAATAAATAAATTTGTCAATCTAATTATTAATTATCATTGAAAATAACATTTGGAACCGGTTCAAAATAAAAATAGAATTTGGAGGAAAAAGTACCTATACATCAACATATAACGTAATCTTCAACCATACGTCACGTTTTTGAATTACAAAATTAAATATTAAATAATAACAAAATACACAAAAAAACACCATCACATATAAAATAATAATAGTATTGAACAATTTAATTGAAATTGATTCCCACATAGGAATTGGTAACAAAAAACCAAAATACATTCTTTGCCTGTTTATTATTTTAAATGTTATAAAGGGTCAAGGTACCAAAATCATAATAGCTATACATTATCGCCTTAAACGTTATAATTTCCCTAAGATTTTATCACACTGCAGGAGTATTTTGTAATAAAAATCTCATTTTATTAAGCATTAACCCCATTAGGCGCATTACTATGCGATAATAAAAATTTCTTTTAATTGAAAAGCACATCGGCAAATTTCCATTCCTAAAAACATTCCCACTGACTTCCCATCAAATTGTGTCAATTCTCACATCTCTGAAAATCATATTTGCCCCCTTTTTGAACTGCATTCAAACGTTTTAAATGAAAGTAAATCACAAATTAATTTTTGTTCAGCCTATGATGCTTTACGTAATAAAATAATGGAAGCTGAACGTATGTCATCGTTGGGTGGTAATCTCTGGTTATCATCAGCCGAAGAGAAAGCCAATAGCATATTAATGAATGCCAAAAAGGAAGAGGTACATAACAAAATTAAAAACAATTTAAATAAATTACAAAATCTTATTACTTAACCTTAGATAACAGAGGGTTTCAAAGATCCCACCAAATATCCCCCAGCCATGCATTTCTTCCAGGGCAAACAGTATTTGCGACAAAGTGAAGTCTTTCGTATTATACAAAAAATGCCTAAAGGGGCATTTTTACATGGTCACAACAAGGGTATGGTTAGTTCGAAATGGATTATAGCCAATTTAACAAATTTATATAATTTGTATACCTGTCGAGATGTCAGCGGTTTGCTGATATTCACCTATGATCAGAGCAAATGTCACAGTGAGGTGCAGAATGTTTGTTTGGAACGTGTCAATGCCGAAGATAAAAGGCTGTATGAGAAACAATTGGAGAAACATATAAATATGTATAGCATGCATCCAGAATGTGAGTTAAGAGCAAAATGTTATTTAGAAAAATATTTTTTTAGGTTTTTTGTTTTTTACTTTCAGCCATGATCACGGATCGCCGAAAGATTTGGAAACGTTTTGAGAATATTTTCCAAACCGTCGATCAATTGTATAAATATCAACCGGCATTTTGTAATTATCATAAACGTCTGTTGGAGGAATTGTGTGAGGATAATATAATTTATGCTGAAATAAGAGCTTCGTTATCACCGGTGAGAATATATTGAATTTTCTTGTAATACCTCAGTACGTATGATTATTATTTGTTATAGGTTAAATAGTAATCATACGCCTTCAGTTTTATTACAATTTTCTTTTAATTTTAATAATTAAGTTACTGTAAAATGTAATGTATACCTGAAAGCTCTGCTCCGCCGATTTAATGATGTACGTCTGTCTGTCCATAATCTTAAATAACATACAACATACGGAAATCTGTCTCTTCGCAAGAAGTTAGAAAATTCATGCGTATACGGGACCGAAAATTTAAATGCAAATGCCACAGAGATGATAGAATAATCACAACGATGTTTCGAGCAACGTGTATCAATGGTCTCAAAGGGGTTCTTAGTCCAACTTTGAAGCACTGTAAAATAGACATGGGTATCTATATTGAAAATCCAGAGACCGAATGCTGTTATCGTCAGCCAGATCACAACATTAGTTTCTAGGTGGAAGTCTGTGCTACAACTGAATGTGTAAATTGGGCTGAATTAAATATGGATCAGGCAGATGTAAACATAAACAAAGGACAATAAGGCCGTTATCAACCAAAAAGGTTATTAACTGTAAAAAAGCCATAACCGACTTCCGGTGGTAAGATCTGTATAATATGGACATCAGCCTATTAGAGAAACCCACTCAATAACATAGATAATAGAATGGTACCCGAATCGAAAGGATAACGAAAAGTCTTTCAGAAAGTTGATGATTAGTTTAAAGGCACGCATCCTGACTGCGTACATAAATTCAGCAAATTGGACGCGCAGAATGTAACGAAAGCCGGATAGTTTAAACATTGGAACAATTTCTTTGACATTATCGAAATTAGATCCAGATATAACTTCCCTAAAGAACTTTGATTGGAAAATATAATGAAAATTATAACTAAGTCATCTTATGATACTGCCTCCTTAAAGTTAATTCACTCACCAAAGTTGTCCATATAAAGGAGCATACAACAAGACCCCTAGTGGACTAGGTCTTTTGATATGATCATGATGTTACTGTATTTTACTTTCCAAACTAACAGACTAATTTTATTTCAGAACAATTTCCAATTTCGAACTTTTGAAAAAAGTTATTTAAATTTCAAAAATTTTATTTCGGACTTATATTCTTAATTTTTTCCAAAAATTCTAAATTATATTCGAAAAATTTTCAAAACTCTAAATATTATCTTCAAATATATAACTTTAGTTCTTTCTGATAACAATTTCTTACTTTTTCTTACAGTTGTATGGTGACAATAATGTAACCTTCAACTCTCTAGAAGTGGCCAATGAGCTGGAGAAAATAGTGGAAAGTTTTAAGGTAAAACATCCAGATTTTATGGGTATGAAAATAATATATGCTAAAAGAAACAAAGGCACAGTAGATGAAATGACACAACGTCTAACTACTTTCAAACAACTGCAGTAAGTTATCAAATAAAAATTATAATTAAAACTCTCGCAAGAAAAAAAATTTAAACTAATTAATTACAGCAATGCCAAGCCCAACTTTATAATTGGTTTCGATTTGATAGGCCAGGAAGATTCCGGTGATCCGTTGCATAAATTTGCCAATGAGTTGTCCGACTTGCCGCCAACTGCAAATTTTTTCTTTCATGCCGGAGAGACTAGTAAGTTTTAAAGATTTAAATAATTTAAAATCTTACACTAATTTTGTATATATCTACAGATTGGTACGGTCGCACTGATTGGAATATGATGGATGCTTTACTCTTAAATACCAAACGTATTGGACATGCTTTTGCCTTGCCCAAACATCCTCAATTGTGGTCTACGATTAAAAAACGTAATATAGCCATTGAAGTAAATCCCTTATCCAATCAAGTGCTGGGTTATGTATGGGATTTAAGAAATCATCCAGCTTCCTTTTTGATAGCAGAAAATTTCCCCATAGTTATATCGGCTGATGATCCGGGTATATGGAATGCCAAGGGTTTAAGCTATGATTTCTATTATGCTTTTATGGCACTGGCACCAGCAGAGGCTGATTTGAAATTTCTTAAACAATTGGCTTTAAATTCTTTAAAGTAAGAACAATATTTCATCCGTTATATTAACACGCTTATTTTAATCATTTACATCTTTTTAGATACTCCATACTTACCTCCGAGGAACGTCGCAAAATAAATCGTATATTCCAAAAGAAATGGGAGGAATTTATTTACAATATCATTAATATGAAATTTTAATTTAATAAAACTTAATTTTTATTAACTAAAAAAAAGACAAAAGTACGAAACAACAATTTTCTATTAAGTTAAAGTTTAATCTAAACTACATCTTTGGCATACCAGCCATGTAAACACTTGGGCACCGGTCCCGATGTATGAAATTCACATCTTCCTATTTCATTCCATGTCTTGGCGCACAGCACCAATAAACCCACTTTGTTCTCATTGAAACCACCCCATACCATTGACGCTAAAACAACACCATCATCTTCATCGCGTGCGCTGGGTGCAGATACAAATATCGGTTCACTGGGATAACAATTATCTTCGCACCATTTTTTACAGGTTTTATTAACAACATCAACTTTGATGAGCTAAAAGGCAATTTAAAAGGAATTATTATTAAAGTTCAATTATTAAGGTATGTATCTATTTTTGTAATTTTAAAAGCGGTCAGTTTAAAACTTACCGTTCCTGGATTGTCTGCATCCACATCGGAACTTATAGCATAAAAATATTGATATTTTTTAGCTGAAAAAAATTGAAAAAATTATAAGAAATTGCTTTGTTTACAAATTTAATCGATATAAAAATTGATCGAAAGTTCTGCTTGGCTCAGAGTTAGTCAAAAATTTTAGCAAATATTAACCAAACATAATGTTTAAGCAAAATCGGTAATTGAAAACTTCCGATTACCTAAAATACTTCACAACTTACCCAAATAATTCTCATAATTAATACGCGGTGTCTCACAGCCCCAGTCGCATAATAACTCCGGTCGAACGAAAATCTGTCTATTTGGCATTTCATAAGCTTCAGCCTGACTGTTCGCTAAGTTCACTAAATTTACCAAAGATTCATATTTTATATTCTCAGGAGCTTCTGCACTAGAATCTTCATTATTGTTGCTCAAATCATTCGTTGACGTGCGAAGATTTGTCGTCATAAATGTTATATCTTCATTTTGTGATTGAGAATGTTTCAATTTGGGCTGATGCAAACGAGAACTAATGCCCGATAGTGTAAACGATTTTAAAAGACGACGTTTTTGACTTAATTTGTGTGGATTTTTTGTACTTGATCCAGTATTGCCTAAAGGCAAAACAAATCGCAAAGGACGTCCACGAAACAATGAAGCATAATCGGGATTAGATTGCATATTCATAATCGATTCCAAATACATGCAATTTATCATTTCCGGATCCTTATAGCAGCAAATATCTATAACCACATAATTATCCTCTTCATACTGATTGATAATGTGCAAAAAGAAAAATGCTTCCGATTCGAAGGTATGAGTCTCCTGACCCGTTTTACGATCTACTAAATGAAATATGGTGGGTTTATCTTCGAACCATTTGAGGCAAGCCGATAAATTCTGATTACAAACGTGAGCTTTAATAAACTCGGGTAATGAAATCGATAGTGGTTGTTCGACTATTACAAAATAATTTTCGGTTATACCAAAAGTATGCATATAACCAGGATGCAATTTCCAACGACATGGTATATGCGCCTTAACATAGGCATTCTCAAACATATTTTCACCATGTGGAAAACATATTATACTGTAAGCAGGTCCAGATTTTGTGGTGGCCATACCCAAATTGTAAGTAGTTCCATTGGGCATTACATGGGGATGTGATGTGTGACTTACTACACCGGCAAAGTCGGTGATAACTAAACGTCCTTCGGTAGCTAATGTGCGGGGATTTATTCTGAAATATAAAAATTATTGAAATTTTATATTAATTAATAAGTAAAAATGGTATAAGAGATGGAAATCGATTTTTAAATTGAAATAAATGATTTTAAATCCGACGACTGTTTCCGACTTGTGTTGGAAATCGAACAACCAATTAACTTTTAAAACATTTAGCTTTTCTGAAGTACCCTGCTTTGTGGACTTATTTAGACAAAAACTGTAAAGTTAGAGTCATAAGGGGGATGCTTTGCTTTACTGGTTGTGTTCCTTAGGTTTCAACGCGTCGGAGATTGTTTGTGCTTTCAGAAGTGGTTATTTTGACACGAAAGTCAACAATCGCTCAGGCCAGGCTAAAAAGTTTGAAGAATAAGAATTGGATGAATTGGAATTACTGCATGAACTCTAAATAATAAAATCATGCACCGAATCGTTACTTGGAATGGATAATGGTTCTATTATGATAACCTGAAGCGTAAGATATCGTATATGAATACCGGCTATTCAGACGAATCAACACCAACGCCAAATATCCATGACGCTCAGGTAATGTAATTTATTTGGTTGGGCAGCAAGGATCCTATCTATTATGAGCTACTGAAATCGGGCCAGATCATCAGGGAGAACCTATACCGTATGCAACAGATTCGTTTAAAGCGGCCAGAGATGAATGCGTAATATTCCATAGTGCTCTGGTAAACGCTTTAATTCAGAACAAGGTATCCAGGGCGCTAAGGATTGATCTGCTGAAATCAAGACGGATGATCACTGGGAACCTGAACCGAATGCAACAGATTCGTTTTTTGAAGATAATTGGCAGTAAAACGGTGAAAATATGCGCCCTGAAATGAAAGCGTAACCTCCGCGACATGTTGCAATACCCGTTGGGAAATTTAATATCACCCATTTTATAGTCCAGACTTTGTCACGTCCGACTGATATTTATTTCGATTGATGCAAAATTCTCTATCCGAAATACGCTTCTCTCTAGAACATGATATAATCTTAAAAATATTTAGAAATGTTTGGTTGCGAAGTTATTTCTCATCTGTCTTATAGTCCACACCTTGTACCTCCCTACTATTTCTTTCGATCGATACAGAACGCTCTATCTGGGATACGCTTCACTTTAGAGCGGGGCATTCGTTCTTACCCTCAAAAGATGTGCAGTTCTTTTAGCGCGAAATCCATGTGAAATCCCATTTTTCTTGGAATTAATCATGAAAATTTATTATCCCTTTCATTTGCTGTGATTTTTGCTTGACGGAAAGCATTTAAATCTCGCGAACCGACTCGATTCGATTTCTGTTCTAATATAAAATCAAGACACAAACATAAACTTACCTATGAATCACGGGAGATTCTGTGAAGGTATAAAATTCATCACCAAAGGGATAAATAGAAATCATACAATTATCCGAGCCACTATCAGGACGAAATATAGCCGAAACTCTAGAAATTCAAAAAAATAAATGTTAACTCTCATTACCACACTAACCACACTCAAATACCACTTACTTATCAAATATCGAATGACAAGGATCTGGTACCGAAGCGGTACCAAACTCCGTGACCACTATTCTCTGGGCGGCATTATTTTTCTTTAGTGTCTCGGTTTGAACAAAACGATTTTGATATGTAACACGACCATTGTGTATGGCAAAACGATGCAATAGCGCAGAACAATCGAATAAATGTTGAAATGTCATATCACCCACCTGCCAATTGCCCGGACCATTACGCAACAATGAACCATTAATCCAAGTAGGAATTTTACCAATAACATGACCCTCTATAGGTTCGATAATCTCTTGACTACAGGATCTTAACCAAACCGTAGAGTCACAATGGGGATAACAGCGACCAGAGCCATCGATACGTTTAGATTCAGGATCATACTTTTTCGAATTGTATTTGACCTTGAAAAATAAGAAATACATTTTAATTTCTAATTTCTATTTAATATATTAAAGGAACCAGAAATAAACCTTTATTTGTTGATTTATTTTAAATTTTAAGTAAAGCCATGTATAAAACTTTTTCGATTTAATAAAAATTATGCAAATACTAATTGCAAATAAAATTATGGAAAAATCCATAATTTCTGTTATATTTTTATTCAAATTGTTTAAGAACAAACACACACACACAAGAATTTCTCTTAAATCAAAATTGCTTTTCTTGACTGTCAACTCTATACTGACATGTTTTTACAGTTTGTTCTCTTTCTTATTTTGAGGGGGTTATTGCCGGTGTATCCATCCGATTACATGAGTTGATATGTATAGATACATACATATGTATGTTTGTATGTATACTTTTACTCATTGACATTGGCATATTTTCTAGGATTAGAAATTCTTTCGACAACAAAAATAAAAATATAAAACTATCGTAAACCGTTTAATACATATTGTATCACTAGAAATAACCTCCATGTATGTATATCTGTAGAATTTGTAAATAATTCACAAATTGTGACTAATCGGGCTTTTAGTAAAGGTTCATTTAGGATGATTTGAATCTATAACCACTTTTGTGCCCGCCAATGTATGTTTGTTTTTAGTTTAGGTCTAAATTTGTAACTAAATTTTGAACTAGTTCTTTAACCTAAAGTAAATTGAAGCCTAGAGTTCTTGAAAATGATACTTGAATACTATTAAAGAAGACTAAAAGATCATATGTATATGAGCTGCAGGGAATCTGTACCGAATGCTACTGATTCGAACATTGACCGAAATGCGGCCAGATATAAAAGAGTAATATTCTATCATGACACCGCCTAGTTGCAATACCTCTGAAAACTATTTAGAAAAATCTAGTTGCGTAGTTTTGCCTCATCTACCTTATGGTCCACACATTGTACCGCCCAACTATTTCTTTCGATCGATGCAGAACTCTAACTCTGATATACTCTTCACTTTAGAACATGGCATCCGAAATTGTCTCGACTCCTAAATTCGTGTTTTTTAAACTGAGGGCTACAAAACATGCGTCATACTAAAGCCGCTCAGATCAAATTTCAAATATGTCTATAATTTTCGATGTAAGATCGTTTTTTGTTGTAAACGTAAAAACTAAAACTCATTTAAAAAAACCTAAAAACACCATTAAAATCTTTATTATCTCTTTAATATTTCAAATAGATTTGTATATAAAAAAACTTAAATCAGCTAGAGTTCAATAATTATAAGAATACTTTAATTTTCCAATAAACTAAATTCGGCTTAAATATACGTTCAGTAAAATCGCAGATGCCTTTAACGTTCCACCAAAAATCAATTTTTATATGAAAAGACTAAAAATAGCTTAAGATTCTTAATAACCTTAATAATTAGTTATTTATAATTGTTCTTTTAACATTTGTTATTTTTCCTAGCAACTTATAACAAAAACTTTAATTCTCTTTTTTAATATTAAATATTAGTTAAAGCTTTTTAAGTTTTAGCTATCGATATATAGCAATCAGTATTTATGTACATTTGTATGTATATTGAAATATTCCTCAATAAATAAAAATATAAAGTATATGACTACCATTAACATACTCAAAAGACAACAAAAATTGTATTTGTAGGCATTTATCCCTTATGTATAATCTACATACATACATATGTATGTATATAGGTATATGTATATGTACACACACATGTAGTCTTATTTGACTTTCCAATAAATGTATGTATGTACTTGTAAACATGTTTAAAATTACATTTATTTATCGTATTTTTTTACATTTAGCAGCATAACTCTGTGGCTTGTCTGATATTTGCCAGTCTGTTTGTCTTTTTGTCTGGCTTTTCACAGTCAGTTCAATGTCAAGGTTTAACAAACAAATTTAATCAACGTAAATCATTTAATCTTTACACAACCTACTTTTACTACAAACAAACAATCATTTGTCAAAAAAACTTAGTTTTGTATTCAATGTATTACTAATGACAAAAAATACTTAGTTTATTTTTAGAAAGTTAATTACATTAAGTAAAAATTACATTTATTTACATTAAATTATAATTTTTTCCTTTAATTCACATACAAATATGTTTAACATGTCGTATGAGTGTTAAATAATTAATACTACGAATTTCATATTAATTATACGTCAAAGTTTTTCGTCAAAAATACAGCTAAAATAAAAATATTTTCGTTTCGAATAGTAAAATAAAGTGAAATTACAAACGAAAACTTGTAAGCGAAATTAACAAATAGACAATATAATTTTTTTATTATTAAAATTTATATTTTATTTTGGGAATTTTTCCCGCTTAAATTCGCATGCGAAACATAATAAATTTAATATTCAAATAAATTTTGTAATTCGTAACACATGACGTATGAGTGATTAACAATTAATTACAAGAGTTTCATATTAATTATATGACACCGTTTTTAGCACAAACAAACATTAACATTTTTGATTTATTTTTGGCAAAAGTAGATTTTACACAAAATCGTCAAAAAATCGCGAATCCCAGAAATGTAGATTTTCAACAAAATTAAATTTTTAACTTATTTTTCTATATTTTAAACTTTTGCTTAATGGTGCATAAACAAGCCAATAAGCTAGTCTATAGTCCAATACAAAGACTAGTCTATATCCTTGTTAAAACATAGAATAGTCTACAGATTTTTCCATAGAATAGTTCATAGTCTAGTCTATAGTTTAGCATATATAATAGTTCATGGATTAATCCATGCATAATACATTCCATAGAATATTCCAAAAATACATATTAAAACGATCGAAAAATTCTCTTTTTGGTGAAAGTCTCTACCATTTCAAAATTTAAATTGTCCAGTCCTTAGAAGAACTATCTCCTTTAAATTAAATTCATCACATAATGGATTTCATATTAAGGTAGTCAATAAATTTTGATTTTTCAATAAATTTTTATACAATATGCTTATAATTTTTTAAATATTAAATTAAATTATTCAAATAATTTTCAACTAACCGCAAATATTTCACGTATAAAACTTTTTAAAGCACTATCACCCATTATATTATATTCTTCTTCCAATATTTAAAATATTCAAATTTCTATGAATAATTTCTTAATTCTTATTATCCTTGTTCTCTTTTTAAATTATTAGAAACAAATATTTAAATTTTTTTATTAGAATTTATTTGTCAACACTAGTATTTGAGTATTTAAACCGTTATTTGTTGTTCTACGTTTGAAATGTAAATAACAACTGACAGCTAATACGGCTCAACTGATATAGTTAGAAAGAAGAATAAATAAATTTGTAAATACACAGTTACTTTTTACAATAGACAAACATACACTTACTCATAGAATAAAATACGAAATATTTACAACGTATAATATTAATAATAACTTAAGAAATAAATATGACTGGGACCTTAAAAAAACAAAGCAAAATACAGGGCATTTTGTATAAAAATTTTAGCCACTGACTACTTTGATGACAACAGCTGTGAAAAAGAATGGATTCATTTAAGCAGCAGTTTCTTGTGGTCGTACAAAATTTCCTCTGATGTTATCTATAGTCTAGTATATGGTCTAGTCTAGAGTCTAGTCTATAGTCTAGTCTATAGTCTAGTCTAGTCTAGTCTATAGTCTAGTCTAGTCTAGTCTAGTCTAGTCTATAGTCTAGTCTATAGTCTAGTCTAGTTAGTCTATAGTCTAGTCTATAGTCTAGTCTATAGTCTAGTCTATAGTCTAGTCTATAGTCTAGTCTATAGTCTAGTCTATAGTCTAGTCTATAGTCTAGTCTATAGTCTAGTCTATAGTCTAGTCTATAGTCTAGTCTATAGTCTAGTCTATAGTCTAGTCTATAGTCTAGTCTATAGTCTAGTCTATAGTCTAGTCTATAGTCTAGTCTATAGTCTAGTCTATAGTCTTAGTCTATAGTTCTAGTCCTATAGTCTAGTCTATAGTCTAGTCTATAGTCCTTCTATAGTCTAGTCTATAGTCTAGTCTATAGTCTAGTCTATAGTCTAGTCTATAGTCTAGTCTATAGTCTAGTCTATAGTCTAGTCTATAGTCTAGTCTATAGTCTAGTCTATAGTCTAGTCTATAGTCTAGTCTATAGTCTAGTCTATAGTCTATTCTATAGTCTAGTCTATAGTCTAGTCTATAGTCTAGTCTATAGTCTAGTCTATATCTAGTCTATAGTCTAGTCTATAGCTAGTCTATAGTCTAGTCTATAGTCTAGTCTATAGTCTAGTCCTATATCTAGTCTATAGTCTAGTCTATAGTCTAGTCTATAGTCTAGTCTATAGTCTAGTCTATAGTCCTAGTCTATAGTCTAGTCTATAGTCTAGTCTAAGTCTGAGTCTATAGTCTAGTCTATAGTCTAAGTCTAGTCTATAGTCTAGTCTATAGTCTAGTCTATAGTCTAGTCTATAGTCTAGTCTATAGTCTAGTCTATAGTCTAGTCTATAGTATAGTCTATAGTCTAGTCTATAGTCTAGTCTATAGTCTAGTCTATAGTCTAGTCTATAGTCTAATCTATAGTCTAGTCTATAGTCTAGTCTATAGTCTAGTCTATAGTCTAGTCTATAGTCTAGTCTATAGTCTAGTCTATAGTCTAGTCTATAGTCTAGTCTATAGTCTAGTCTATAGTCTAGTCTATAGTCTAGTCTATAGTCTAGTCTATAGTCTAGTCTATAGTCTAGTCTATAGTCTAGTCTATAGTCTAGTCTATAGTCTAGTCTATAGTCTAGTCTATAGTCTAGTCTATAGTCTAGTCTATAGTCTAGTCTATAGTCTAGTCTATAGTCTAGTCTATAGTCTAGTCTATAGTCTAGTCTATAGTCTAGTCTATAGTCTAGTCTATAGTCTAGTCTAAAGTCTAGTCTATAGTCTAGTCTATAGTCTAGTCTATAGTCTAGTCTATAGTCTAGTCTATAGTCTAGTCTATAGTCTAGTCTATAGTCTAGTCTATAGTCTAGTCTATAGTCTAGTCTATAGTCTAGTCTATAGTCTAGTCTATAGTCTAGTCTAGTCTATAGTCTAGTCTATAGTCTAGTCTAGTAGTCTATAGTCTAGTCTATAGTCTAGTCTATAGTCTAGTCTATAGTCTAGCCTATAGTCTAGTCTATAGTCTCGTCTATAGTCTAGCCTATAGTCTAGTCTATAATCTAGTCTATAATCTAGTCTATAGTGTAGTCTAGTCTATAGTGTAGTCTAGTCTGTAGTTTTGTCTATAGTCTGGACTAGACTATAGACTAGTCTAGTTCGAAATCTATTTTTTAAAAAGTGAATTCATTATTTAAAAAACTGTTCCATACTTGTATCCAATGAACATGTACGAATATTTGTTGTTTTTTTTTTTTTTCATTTTATGATTGACAGCCTAACGATGCGGCTTGGCTTTTCCATTTAAACTATTTCTGTTTTTATTTAACTATATACATAGTTTCTGTTTATGGTCATTAAAATACCGACCAACCTGTATAGCAAAACAAAAAATTATTTAATTTTTTCTCGAAACAGCACCACACTAACCGAAACATAAGTAAATATACAGTGAAATGCATTTCTTATAAAATCTTTAGCATTACAAAAACAAATTTCTAACCTGTACTGTTCTAAATCAAAATTTCTTCATAACAGCAGGTTTTCTAAATATCGAGTCCTAAATATGTAAAAACGTTTTTGGGCAAAGATATATTTGTTTGTAAAATCTGTTATGCCAAAATTGCAATATGTCGACTTTAAAATAATCTTTTAACCTCTTTTATATCTTATCATATCTTTTTCTAAAAATCTTAATCTAGAACAAAATTCGAGTTCAGCTCAGCTCAATCTTTGAAAAAAATATTTTTTCTTTTGTTTTCGACTTTTTCAAATTTCATTGGCCTGTGTTATACCCAACCTTTATCCATATGTATGTGAATTTTTACACATTGTTGTTTGATCGCTTACATGTTTTAACTCTTCACTGTTTGGGGTTTTGAATCTGTATAAACGAAAACCATTTTCGACTATATCTAATACATTCAAAGCCAATTCGTCATAGAAA